GTGCATGTGTTTTGTACATTGTGAGTGTTTGGAATGGCTATGTCTATAATGTATGTGATTTTATTGTGTTTGTCAATGAGTGTGATGTCTGGTCTGTTGTGGTAAATTGTTTTATCTGTGATTATGGCTCTGTCGTAGTACATTTTGTGCGTGTTGTTTTCCAATACTGTCTATTATTATTATTATTATTATTATGTTGGGTTTAGTGGGTTATACTTGGTTGAAACTGATTTCTGTGTACTATGCTGTACACAGAACACCCAAAACAAGACTAAAATTAAATAAGTGTGTCAGTGTGTGTCTGTATTCAGGAATTTCCTAACAATATGACATGTATTCAATATAATGGTCTTCTGTAAGATAATGTATGTGTTTCTACTCAACTGTAATGTTCCTAACCTTTTGTGTAGTGTGTGGGGTATGATACCTGTAGAGAAGAGTTGTACAACAAGTACAATAAGCACCCTATCCATCCTCCACAGATGCCTTATTTCCTGGGTAAGTTCTGTATACTTGCTGATTTTTTTCAGTGCATGTGTTTTGTACATTGTAAATAAAGCAATAAAGACTGTACAAAACTTTTGTACAGCAATAAAGGCTGACATTCTGGAGTATTAAATGAAATTATAGAAATCAAAATAAAAGTAAACTTTCAAATAACAATTAATTTTGAAATGCTAAATATAAAAATATATTACCAAATGTTTAATAAATAAAGTAAAAACAATAAATTTGAATCTTAAAAATATATTTATTGTTTATTACTTAGGTATTCCATCAACATCCTCTAATCGACGTTGTCGTTCCAGCATATCTTCTGTGGGACCACCACCACCATCTCCATGACCAAATAACATCATACTGCATGTTACACGACCTTTATCTTTCAAATTTTTGACTGTATCTATTACCTAAAAAATTTATAAATAAAATTAACCTTACAATTCTCAGAATCAAATATTTTTGCTATATTCACAAATAAAATATATTTAAATTAAAACAGAATTAATAAAATTAATATATCATTACACCTGAATAATGAATATTAATTTTAATATTTCATATGAATAGTAAAATTGACAATTCTTAAGAATAGTATTAAAAATATTAAACAGTTTTAACACCATTCATATTTATGGCATGCTAGCAAAATTAGATCACACACAGACTGCAATTACTGCATTGATTATTACTTCAAATAAAAAATTTTGCTCAAATTACATTCAATTTAAAATGCTTGATTTAAAATGCAACTCATGCATAATTTGAGAATCCCTGTATGTATATGTCTATGTATGTACAGATATCCCTTGCACAAGGCAGTACTTCTACAAGACGATTTTGCTCTAACACAGTTTTGGAAATCCTCCATACAAAATTTCACAATTTTTAAGTGTAAACTTCATTATTTGATATTTATTTATTTATTTAAGTAAGCACGCATGTTATCTCAAATTTGCCCACAGATTTTAGAATATTGAAAATTTTCAATTTGTTTTGTGCTTTTTGTCAGTTTTACTTTAATTGAAACTGATAGTACAATTTTTTCTTCCATGGTAACTTTCCTATCAACCAGGTGTCATTGTCATTGCTTTCAGACTTTATCACTTAAGACTGTCACTGTGTTTTCTTTTTATACATTAATCTTTGTATTTAGTAAAGTTATTTAAACAATTTTAAGTCAGTGTTATTAAATTTTTTTTAAGCATAGGGAAGTAATCATTTGCAAAAATGACAAACAAAATATGGCAGTATCTCCATACTCAAACTGTTCCCAACTGGAATAACTTGGTATTGAGCACAAATTCTGAAGAAAGAAAAATTGCTTAATACTTGACTAAACAAACATCACCTGCTAAAACAAATTGTTGATTAATAACATATTTTTATTTTTTCCATCATTAGGAAAATTATGATAAAAATAAAACAATGAAGATATTGCTGATATTTCTGATCAGGATCAACAAAAATGCTCAAATGATGATGATGCTACAGTACTTTGAAAAAGCAAATGCCCTTGTTTAACTAAAATTAATATTAACAGTGCTTTTAATTGTGCTTGTTAGTTAATTGAGCTGTTGATTTTGAAAGTAGGAGAAGTCCATTTTGTGAAAAAAATAATTAAAGCTAATTCTTATTACAAATTAACATAAAATTTATGTTTTTAATGAATTCACAATAAATATCTTTGAATACAGGTATACCTCGACTTACGTCGTTTCGAGTTACGTCGTTCCCGATTATACGTCGTTTGTCAAAAAAATATACGAAAAAATAAAAATCAAGTTTAAGTCATTTCATTCGACTTTACGTCCGTCCGCCACAAATATTGAAGTCGTAATATCACTAGAAAAGCGTTTAAAGNTTTAAAAATCTTTGTAAATAAGAAATAAGGATTTAATTAAAAAGTTGATTATTTTCAGTTATATTTAATTACGACACTAAGTGTTAAAGTACTAAATATTAGATGAATTTAGTACCGTTAAAATTATATTCATTTATACCATAATTTTACTGCATTATGTTTTCATTCAATGATGTGTTATTGTTTGTCTTCATAAATTAATAAATTGAAGAACTTTTTGGGCTGCAATTTTTTTCAAATGGCAACCAAAATAAATAAATTTCCGCGCGTTTTCCGGTTGTCTGTTTTTTTTATTCACGAGAAAGAAGTTAAATAAATAAAAGTTTGACTAAATATGAAAACCATATGGTCAGCATTCCTACAGTAACTATAAAAGACCTTTCGATGCAAACCGAAAATCGTGTTAATTTAATTCAAACTTCCTTTATGGAAGGAGGTATAAGATCGGCACGACTCTATTGTTAAAGAAACAGTATGATGTACAGGGGCAAGCCACTACTAATTTGCGGGAGACGGCATATATTTCAGTGGCGTGCTGTGACATTTGATGATTGGGAAGCTCTGTTTCTGTAAGAAGCCGACTTTCATTGGCCATCAGTCAGTAATTGTCTAGGGTCCATTCGTATTCGTTTGTTTGATAAGCCAGTAAAAACCGTAGATTTATTTAAATGTATTTTAATAGATTATCTGACGTACTTAATAAATAAACAAGTTCAATATAATTACCTTTGTTGTTAGATTTAATAGATTCCTTATGCCCTCTAAATGTCAATTCTTGCTTTGATAAAAAACATATAACATCTATCATACATATATGTCTCTTTAATCCGAAAAATTACAAGAATTCCGGTAGAGGATAGACTATCTTACAGCCTTTAGGTCAGGAACATTCTATATTGAAGATACAGGTTACATATGCATTTTGGGCTTATTTTATATTTAAGGGCAGCGTTTATGGTCGGCGCTTTTGGGCGTATTTTAAATAATTGTTTAATTTTTTGCAGGTAAGCTCACTGGTTTGTTTCGTCATGTCTAAAAGGAAGACTTATTCACCAGTAAGTCAGTCGGATAGTAGACCTAAGATATTTCATTCTGACCCACTGGAGGAGACGAGTATCTTGGAGTTATTATGTACTTCAGGGAGAATTTGATATTAAGGATGGGATATCGTTACTTATTCAGTTAAATTTAAAGCAGAATAAGAAATTGGAAGGAATGATTGCTAGGATTGATAGAATCTACTCCTGGGTAGAAAATTTGGACGAAGCTATTGTTAATCTAGAAACTAGATTAGAAGATTTAGAGAAAAAATTTACATACGATACCGGTAAGATTCTATCGGACGATAGAATAGATTTGGAAAACAAAATGGCCGAGTTTACATTAAGTCAGGAGCTGTTTGAGTGTTTCTTAAGGCGTAATAATTTAATAATTTCTGGTTTGCCTGAGTCGGAAGATGATAACTTGCAAGTTAAAGATGTAGTATTGGAATTTTTTCAAAATAAATTAAGTGTTGATAATGTTCGTTTAGAGCGGTGCTACAGATTGGGCCAACAACGGAAAGATAGTATTAGGTTGATTTACTGTAGTTTTTTGGATGAGCGGCATTTAAATTAATAGGAACTAGGATATTTATAATGGATGACCTTCCTCCTTTAACTAGAGACATAAGGAAAATAATGAATGATTTTGCAAGAGAAAAAAAGAGATTGTGTGTTTCAATTACTTATTTAAATAATAGAAATGCGGTTAAAGTTAATAATAAAATTTATAAATATAATATAGTTTCTAAGAAAATGGAAGAACAAATGTCAACNATAACTTACAAGTTAAAGATGTAGTATTGGAATTTTTTCAAAATAAATTAAGTGTCGATAATGTTCGTTTAGAGCAGTGCTATAGATTGGGTCAACAACGGAAAGATAGTATTAGGTTGATTTACTGTAGTTTTTTTGACTATGGTGATAAATGTAAGATTAAAAGAGCAGCATTTAAATTAAAAGGAACGAGGATATTTATAATTAATGACCTTCCTCCTTTAACTAGAGACATAAGGAAAATAATGAATGATTTCGCAAGAGAAAAAAAGAGATTGGGTGCTTCAATTACTTATTTAAATAATAGAAATGCGGTTAAAGTTGATAATAAAATTTATAAATATAATATAGTTTCTAAGAAAATGGAAGAACAAATGTCAACTTGACTGGGAATAGGTACGTCGGTACTTTCATGGAATTGTGAAGGTATTGTAAATAAGCCTATCTCTTTTTGGAATTTTTTGTATACTTTTGATATAATTTTTTTAATGGAAACGTGGTGGGATGGCAGGTCTGCTATTCCCAATTTGCAAAATATGGATAAATTTTCTGTTTTTTCGGAGGCAGGTTATCGAGAGGCTGATAGAGGGCGCTGTATTGGTGGCTGGTTGTTGTTATTGTCTAACTCTTGGAAAGTAAATATCTTGGAAAAAGATAGGCATTGGATTGTTGTGGAATTGTCTATAGGGCCTATAGTAATTTCTTTCTGTTTTATGTATATAAGACCTGTATTATGGAATTCTATTTGGACAGAGGTAGCTAGGTTGGTTAATTGTTATAAGATAGACTTTTTAATTGGTGATTTTAATGCTCGCATTGGAGTAGAACTGCAGGAATGGATTTATGAAAGTAATGAGAATATTGATCAGGATTGGATGTTGAGGTCATCAAAAGATACAGTATTAAATAATCGTGGAAAATTGGTGTTAGATTTTTGTGAAGATGCGGGATATATTATTTTAAATGGTAGAGGCTCATCTGTATCTAAAGGTTATTATACATATGTGAGTGATATAGGCTCCTCTGTAATTGATTTGGCTTTGGTTAAGTTAAATAAATTATCTATTGTAACAAGATTTTCTGTATTAGATAAAGTGTATAGTAATCATTTTCCGATAAGTGTAGTCTTAGATTGTAAATCTAAGAAGGAAATTCGAAAATCACTTAAGAAGTATATGAGTAAGAGTGAGAGAATTTTTTGGAGGGAAGAAGGTAGTGAGAAGATAAATTATAAGTATAGGGAACCTATTATGTGCGATTCAGAGTCAGTCAGTATTAACGTTGGAAGGTTTAACTCATTTAATTAAATCATCATTTTCAGATTGGTGTCAAAGGCCAATTGGATTTTCCAATTTCGTGTGGTTTGATATGGATTGTAAGTTGAGTATTGCAAGAAGAAATGAGGCGTTGAACAGGATGAGACGAACAAAGAGTGGAAATAGTGTTGCTGTTACGAATTTTGTTAAAGAACGTAATGTGACTCGCAATTTATGTAGAGCTAAGAAAAAGCCTTTTTTGCAGAAGATCAATAAGAATTTGGCGTCTGGTGACAGTAAACAGTTCTGGCGATTTATTAATTTCTTTGTTAAGAGTAAATACAGGGAGCTTCCAGATCTTGATTGGGTAGCTTTTTTTTCAAAGAAATTTCATTCTAGTTAATATTTACCGGATATGTCTATATATAATTGGTGTATGAATTGGCAGGACGAGTTGTTGGATACGGAGATAACAGAACAGGAAGTCAAAAAGATTCTAGCTACTATGAAAAATGGTACTGCTCCAGGTATTGATGGGATACCGGTGGAACTATATAAGAATTTCCCAGATCTGATTGGATATATGGTATATGGTAGGTCTGTTTAACAATGTTTATCAATCAGGGATGATTCCTTTAGACTGGCGCATATGTAAGATTATTCCTATATTTAAAAAGGGACTTAGAGATTTACCTGATAATTACAGAGCAATTTCGTTACTGCCGACAATTTCTAAAGTCTTTTGTAAAATTTTATGTATACGTTTGATATCTTGGCTGAATAAGTTTGAGATATTTTCTGATTTCCAGGCTGGTTTCCGGTCTGGTTTTTCGACATTGGATAATATTTTTGTTTTACATGCCCTAATACAGAAGTATTTAAAGAAGAAACGAGGTAAATTTTACGATTTCTTCGTTGATTTGACGGCGGCATTTGATTCGTTGGATAGAGATCTTTTATGGAGTCAACTTCTGAAGATTGGGTTGAGCTATAAATTTGTAAACTTTTTGATTCAGTTGTATACTAATACAGAGGCGTGCGTGTCTACTAAGGAGGGTACGACTGATTTATTTTTCACGTTAAAAGGTGTGAAACAAGGTTGTGTATTGAGCCCAATATTGTTCAATTTATATTTGTATCCACTTGTAAGTAAATTGAATGACTCTAATTTGGTGGGCATTGATCTGTTGGGAACGGAGGTAAAAATCTTGACATATGCAGATGATTTGGTTGTTATAGCAGATTCGCCTATAGGTCTACAGAGAATGATTGAATTTTTAGGACACACACTACAAGAGTTAAAATTGTCTGTTAACATTGATAAATCTAAAATAATGGTATTTCGGAATGTAGGAAAACATTCTAATAATGAGAATTGGTTTTTACAAAATCGCAAAATAGATGTTGTTGATGAGTACAAGTATCTGGGTGTAGTTTTCCAGTCTAATGGGCGTTTTTTAAAACATTTAAAGTATAGTCACAGTAAAGTGACTTTTGGAATTGATAAGATTATTAATTAAAACTTGTGTATCTGGTAGATTGGTACGTTGGAAAAATAAATTAAAATTATTTGAGTCATTTATTCAATCAGTAGTGTTATATGGATCTGAAATTTGGGGCTTTGATTGGAGAGAGAGATGATAATATACAAATCAATTTTATTAAGCGTTTATATTCTCTAAAGAGATGGATTCCATCGTATATTATATATTTGGAGTTCAAAGAGCCCCTTTATTTTAATATAATAAAAAATAATTTAAAATGGTTACGTAAACAGTCTTCTAGTAAACTTACAGAGTCCGCTAAAATATTTTTAATCTCTCAAAGAATATCGTGGGGAGATCGAATTGTATCTTTGTTGCAGAAATTTAGTTATCGAAATGATCCGACAATGATAAATGAAAGTGAGATTTCTGATATTTTAATGAGTTTGGCGAATAATTATATAACTGAGTTTAAATACAAGGCGGTTAATTACAAATATATGGTATTTGGATGTGTTTAATGAATAGGGGTCGATGACCTATTTGATTATTGAAAGATTTTTTTGTATTACACAAGCCGTATTATATGTGAGATGTAACATGATTAGAAGAATGTTAAGTCCACGTATGGACTACTGTGAATTTTGTAACACTACTGTTAATTTTGATGCTTTTCATGTAATAACGGAATGTAAGGCGCTGACTTCACTCAGACAAAAGTATTTTGGTGAAGATAGTTTTTCGGTTCAAGCACATAAACGGTTGTTGCAGGACTGGAATAAATATTACTGTATTTATAGTTTTGTAACAAAGTTAAATTATTGATTATTTATTTGTTAAGGTTAAGAAATTTTTTTCCAGATGCTTACCACCAGGAGGTGTAAATTGATTATGTAAGTGAACGAATCAGTGTTTGAGAGTTGGCAGCGTTTATAGTCGGCGCTTTTGTGCGTATTTTAAATAATTGTTTAATTTTTTGCAGGTAATTGCTTAGTTTTTTCTTTTCTTTTATTTATTTTATTTTGTTTATGCCGACCATTCGCTGCCATTTTTTCATTTGTCTTTTTCATGTATTTTACTTATAAGTATATAAATGTTATTATTTGTTTCGGATAATATTAACCTTGTGTTATTTTTTTTTTCTTTTCAGTCTAATTGTCACGCGCTATACGAGGTCTGTTCAAAAAGTATCGGACCTTTGGTCGGCAAAAATACATTTATTGATTTTGAGGTACAAAACCCTAATCTCCTTCAAAGTAGTCTCTTTGGTAGTGTATACACTTCTCCCAGCGTTCCTGCCATTGCTAGAAACACTGCTGGAACGCATCTTTTGGAACGGCCATCAGCCGGTCCGTCGCATTCCGCACGATGTCTTCTCTCGACTAAAATCGAGTTCCTTTTAGCGGCATTTTCAGCTTGAGAAATAGCCAAAAGTCACACGGAGCCATGTGGGGAGAGTACGGAGCGTGACGAACCACAGGAGTGTTGTGTTTGGCGACGAAAGCCCGAATCAGATGCGCAGAATGGGTTGATGCGTTATCACGATGGAGCTGCCAAGTTTTGATCGACCACAGATCCGGTCGTTTGCGTCGCACAGCATCGGAAAGACGACGAAGGTCCTCCTGGTAGTACTCCTTTGCGATGGTTTGGCCTCGTGGTGCGTACTCACAATACACCACCCCACGAGAGTCGAAAAAACTGTCAACATGACCTTGATATTGCTGCGGGCCTGCCGCGCTTTTTTTGGCCTCGAGGATCGTCCCCGAAAACCTGCTGAATCTTGCGAATGGTTTACGCTCGTGTATCGCCAATGTTTTTGGCAAAATTTGATGTAATATCACTGCTCACGTTGTTCAGTTATTTCCCAACTTAGTAGAATCCGACGAGAGCTCGCTACATGTCCTCACTCATAGGCCGACTGCCAACGACTGACGCTTCCTGCAGGCGGGAAAAATTCAGAGCTGGGCATGAGTGTCTCCTCCACAACTCCACCGAAAGAGGCCTCTCGCGCATCATTGGTTTACGCGGAAAAAATAAAAGTCCGATACTTTTTGAACAGACCTCGTATTGTTGCATTTTCCTTTTGTATTGTTATTTATTACAGTTTGTGATTTTAGTTATAATAGCTCGTACATACAAGGTTTTCCTTGTACTAAATAAATAATAATAAATATTTTATACTTAAGCCCTTCTTCAGTGCTATACAAAAAAGTTTTTCCAGATTTTTTCTTACAAATCCTTCTGCCACACTAATACGATATTTCTGGGTTTTTTTACATTATTTACCAATCTTTAAAAGTGGATGTATACTGTATCATATTACATTAAAACTTTATACAATCACTAAAAATTCCCGAAGATACATTTTTAATGTCAAACTGCAGTAGGGTAACGACGTTAATATTTTTCTTAACACACAATACATCGTACTTTACATTATGATGTATATCCTTGAAAACTTTTTTGTATAGCACTGAAGAGCGGCTTAAAGATAAAATAAGCCCGAAATGCATATGTAACCTGTATCTTCAATAAAGGATGTTTCTGAACTAAAGGCTATAAGATAGTCATCCGGAATTCTCGTAATTTTTCCGATTAAAGAGACATATATATGTATGAACGAATAAACAGCTACCATCACAGATATTTGAAAACATATAACATCTATTAATTTAGATATAATATATCTATTAGCCGTAGTATCTTATTATAATTTTCAATATTTATTTTATGTTATTTACTAATGTTAAATTCTATTCTGCTTTGATTTCCAAATTGCTTCAATTTTACGAAAGAATAGATGTGACATTTACGATTTTCGTGTCTTGCCAGCTTTACTCATATTATTTAAATCTTCAAAGCGATTCTTATTCCAGACATTAATTTCATTTGAAAATAGTAGCCAAGAAAACAATTTTTGCATTTTTATGCATCCACGAAGCCAAAGTCTTCATAAATTTTTATCTTGAAAATGTCGGAAAAAATTTTCGTTGGCCAATTTATATTTAACTAGCAGACGCCGCCACGCCTTGTTGTGGCTCAAAATGTATCTATTATAAATGTATAACACTTCCCCAGTGGGATAAAATTTTTCGAAAAATATTTTCTTAGTGTACATTATGTTGACGTATCCTATTAAAATGCAATCAAAAACGCAAAAACCCGCATCTAAAATAGTATAATAGAAGCCAAGTTTTTCAGAGTAAGCTTAATCCTGTCTCTCTCCCCCGCGGGGAGAATATCAAAAAATCCTTTCTTAGTGTACATTCTGTTGACGTACTCTATTAAAACGCAATCAAAAACGGAAAAAACTGCATCTAAAATGGTATAAATAGAAGCAGAGTTCTTTACGGTAACCTTTTCCGTAAGGCTTACCGTAAAGAACTGTCCATCCCCCATGTTTAACGGAATAATATATAGCCTATGTCCACCCTGAAGTTCCATTCTAAATATTGGTGAAAGAATTTTTGAAATCGGATGAGTAGTTTCGGAGATTACCTGCTGCATACAAACTAACATACATACAAACATTACCTCTTTATAATATTAGTATAGATTTAGGCATTGGTCTCTTTTAATAATGTTTTCTTTTTCCTTATACAGTCTTCAGCCAAAACTTTTTTAAAATAAATTTTCAATATCACAATTACACTCTGAATCGCTAGTAACGATAAAAGCTAAACTTAAAAATAAATTTATAAAAACTTACTTGGTGAAATAAAATATGCGGTGGATATACATACCTGGTAAAAAATATTCTTTAGTTGTATGAATATACTTTTAAAGAAAATTATAATTAAATATAGCTTTGTAAAGAAACGTATATAAAAATAACATAAAATCTTCTTTACTTTTTAAATCTTAAAACAATCAACTTAGTCACATACAAGTATATCTCCCTACTAGTGGCTAATGGGTGGAATCAGAGACGGCCCTGGTAGATGTGCAGTGCGTGCATGCACGCGGGCTGCCAAATCCCAAGGGTGCCGATACTGGTCAATGTCAAATGCCTCTTTTGTTGCATCTAGTATACCTCAAAGGACGCGACAAGGTTGTTGTACATTTTAAACGTTTCTCACCGTAGCTGTAAAAATCTAAGTATATTAAACTTAATAGATTGTCTGTCATTTGTATTCTAACTAATTCGTTTTAGGTCCAAATGTCTACGGGAATTTCCAAAATTTACAACTTTTCTGTCATTCTCATTGAACTGGGAAAATTTCTCTGTTTATTACATCTAATATTACGACGACACTGTACTCGACTAGAGATTGGTTCAGTTTAGCTTTTGTTTAAGTAAAATCAAGGCTCTTTCAACAGGGTTTTATGTCCCTAATCCTCTAATCTCTTAATTATTTAACTACTTCTTAAGTAGAAATAAGTTGAAATCGGTTACTTTGTACTTGAATATTTGTAGTCTTGGGGGAGAAGTGAAAAGAGACAACGGATACATAAATCGTAATTTAAGGAATATAAATTATGGAATTTGTATCTTGTGCACCTCATACATTAAATTTAGTTGCAGATGATGCTACCAAAGTAACAGTTTATTTTTTAACATTGTACAAGAATTGTACACGTTTTTTTCTGCGTCCCCTTATAGATTATTAGATGGGACATATTAAATCATAATATTACTAGTTTAACATTGAAATCTGTAAGTGATACAAGATGGGAGAGCAAAATAAACATATCAAATATTTTAATGGATTTTTTAAAACTCCTGTCAACTATACAGAACTATCATAAAAACATACCAGTAAACATCTATCGGTTGCGTTAAGTTATAAATCTACTCGCGATTCACATAATGGGGCGAAGGCGGCCAAATATCTTGCATGCAGGCGGCTAACAGCCCAGAACCGGTCCTGGAAGCTGACCCGGTTTCGACAATACATCGCTTCCATTCGGAATACAGTGCTTCCACTTCGCCACTGATATTCAAATATACAATAGCAATCTTATCGTTATTTTTCACATGTACTATAAATTTGTAATAAGACACATAATGCAGTTATAATAAAATATTAATTTTAATTAATTCAAAGTACGTTAAAATATGAAAATAATCGCGCAATATGTATTTATATTTAAGAAAATACAATGGAGGCAGCGCTTCCACCGCTTCCAAGGATGGAACGCCACTGATATACTTTAAATTAAATAAATTATTTAAGTAATTGCAGCTTAGCATTGTGACGACGTCAGAATAAATAATTGCTCGTATTTGTTACAATTAAAGTAAATCAAAGATTTATTTTATTCATTCTTGTGGGATAATGATAATAATCATTAAAGATAAAACGATGCTTTTGCAAATGATTTGTTCATTGAATCCTCGTAAGCATCGCCACTTATAAAACCTTATTAAAGATCTAAAATACTTATACTTAATCTTAAATCTACTGATCAATACCTAATTCTAAATGAAATGAAACTCAAGACAACCTTTGCCATCTGGACTCAGGTTTGGATTCAAAAGTGCTGCAAATAGCAGAATTTATGGAATAAATGATACGTTTCGTTTGTTGAAATCAAGCACTTATCGTTGCTTTAGCAAAATTTACCATGAACCTTTTTGATACAGAAATGAGATTTCAAGAATAACATTCAGTTCATTTGCGTAATATTCTATGTGATTATGGCTCTGTCTATGTAATTGTACGCATTTCAAATTTTTCATTAAATGTAATTTGTAATTTATCTGAAAATTTCTCGTCCGATGGAGACTATTATTTAATAAAATTGAAGACAAAGTCTGCCAAAAGTATTTGTAATTTATCATTAAATAAACATTTTTGCACTACAAAGTAAAGTAAACACTTTGTTTACTTTGTAGTGCAATTTTATTTTATATTTCATTGAAAATTATTATAGTATGCTACTTTTACAAAATATATTATTCATCCATCCCTCAATTAACCAAGTAAAATTCTTTTAAATTTATCTTATTGTTAGTGTGCCTCCAAATTTTTAAATTACTAAAATTGTAGCGTGACGAAGAAAACGTTGAGAATCACCGTTTTAAACTAAGGCATCATTATAACTACAAGCTGATGTAAGTCTGAGATCAACTCATTTTGTATAATTTAGAAGTAATTATACTAACGTGACATTTGTCTAATAATTTGTCTAATAATAGAGTCAGTCTTTAAGTTAGATTAGTAAGTTACTCTGACCACATATTTATCGCGATATATTTAAAAGGTGAAAAATAAAATAAATTTATTTACTGTTTTTACTAATATTATAATAAATTAACTATAAATACTTTTCCCTTAATTCTAAGCGAAGACAAACTTTTCATGACGTATTGCTTTAAAACTTTTTCCCCAAAGAAACGAAAATACAGAAGCATTCGTCATTCTATAATCGTGGTTTCTCTTATTATTATTTACACAGCATTGTAAAGGTGTGATTTGAGTTAAACTACACACAGCATAATTATAAATACATGATATATATTCTCTATATCAAAGCTTCTTAAACTCTGTTGTGATGTCATAGACCTTGGCAACTCTTAGTTGCCAAGGTTTATGTCACTTCAATCCGAAATGTTCGTCTGTCAGATTTGGTTAGCAAATGAGAAAGCATCCAAACATATTTTTTCCTTGTGATCTGCTACTACTTTTGAATTAATTCTACTTTCCTATTCAGTCTCATTCTACTACCATTTCACTTTTTCCAAAGTTTGCATCGCACATGTCATCGTGTGAAGTAACGTCAGTAAAGTTTTGTATTTTTCTAGAAACATAATAGTTTAATTACCAAAAATAAAATTTTCTTATCTTTCTGAACATTTAAGTATCGGGTAGTTATAAAATAAGTATCTCTGTTTTGAGCTGTTGGTAGCTTGAAGGAATAACTGTAATAAAACCAAAACTGGTATTCTTACTATTTAAGAAGGGAGAATAAACATGAAATGAGAAAAAAGTAGTTAATAAGTTGACGATAGAGGGCGCTGTAACGTTTAAATGTAATGTGTAATACGAGAAGAAAGAATTAAAATGAATTATTTGAAAATGTCACAGTTAATGCGACATTTTCAAATAAATATCGGTTTTCCATCAGTTCTTGACCTTAAATCTTTCTTTCTTAAAATAAAAATACTTATTTTATAACCACACGATATAAAATATGAACATCCTAGAGATATATGTTGTGACTAGGGATTCATGTATTCGTGATCTTTTTGAATTTTAGAGAATCAGGTAATCCCGGCTGACTAAAACCTTTTTTCTCAATAATTTACAGGTTTTTAAAACTTGATTATTTATGAAAGATCTTTGATTAATTAAAAAAATTATGCAGAAGAAAACATACAAAGTAGGACCAGAAGATATAAAATTGTTTTGACACAAAAACTTTCCAGAAATTGATAAGCTCCTTTTATTTTGTGTGGTTGATTTTATGCAAAATAGAGCATTTCTGAGCATTTCCAAATTCGTTTTTTTTTCTTTTTACGTTAGGTTAGGATTACATAGAAATCTTCGGGGAAGGCAGATCGCCGGTAATCACATAAATTAAATTGATTCTAACAATTTTTTTACTTTTCAGGCTCTGTTATAGCCTATATAACAGAGGGAACGTGTGGCGATTGGTCAAAACATGACTTCCTCAAGATTTTTTACATTTTTAGACTTAAGGAACTTTGAAACGTCGAAAAATGCAAAAAAATTCAACGATTATTTCTGTGTGCCTAGATGTTAATATTATTATTTTATGCTATCAGATTAATCCAATAGTCAATTCACTTCTATTGTTTCTTAAGGTAATTTTTATTTCATTATTTTAATGTCATTAGTTTACAGGACTCTTATCATTTCGTAACAAACTGTATGTGTAACTGGATGTCGTGAAGAAGTCGTAATTTTGTAATTCCATCTGAAGACAAAATATTTAAAATGAAAATTTGACACGATTAGTGTATTGTCCGAGTTTCTGTTGTATTCTGGTCCCGCGCAACACATCAGTGGCATTTACGATTGCTGACAATTTAAGTACATCGATCTCTATAACAAATTTTTATTTTGATGTTTACGACGGCATTTAACATGTACGATGTCGTGACGAAATCAATTTTTTAAAACGCTCACGTGGGTGTCCCGCGCCCGAAAATGTGCGTGTCTTAACGGTTGTTGGAATTGGTAGACCGCTGTCTACAAACGTGGGAGTTTTAAGCGTTTCTTAACGTTCTTATGACATTGAACGTTCGCGTCCATCCTCGAATTTGCGTTTTGAACTGCTTTAGACAGAACGTTAGAATCATGTCAAGCCGAAACAGTACAACCTATGCCGCGGAGCTGAGTTTCGTTTTTCTAGAAAATACCTAGTAGTTATTGTTGAAATAAATTAACAATTTTAAATAAATCACACTTATGTGTGATTTATTAAATCCTTTGCATATGACACTAACTTCAGCAGTTTGATTGAACAAAATAAATAATAGTCAAGTTATTAAAATACTTTATTTCAGCTTATTAAGAATTATGAAAATCTAATACAGTTCTACAATTTGAATCAACCCAGAATTAAATTGTAAATTGTTATTACAACTAATTTTATATACCAACTTATTACAAATAAAATAAAAACTATAATAACCAATAATAATAACCAGCTTAATGTAATTTTTCATTAAATTGTTAAGAAAGAAAAATTGAAGGAACTGATTTTTCTTAACATCTGTCTGCATTCGCCAGGCATACCTGGAAGAAAAATAACAACAACAATCAAAATAGTTTATGAAATAATTTAGTGTAGACTGAGATTTTATCATAAATTTTTGATTTACCAACAAAAGCTATCTCTTAATTGTAATTTATATATAAAATATTCGCATTTTACATTATTTATGTTAAAACCGTATTTGTTTTTCATTAACCCTTCTTTAGTATTCTTAAAATAATAAATTTTATTAGAGAAATTTAAATTTATAAATAAATTATAAAATATAAATTTTATCTAATTTTTCTGTTTCACATTAGCATCTTAAGTGTTACGTCATAATATTAAACTGCTAACGATCGGCACTTATTGTTATATAAATTAATTAAACCAACTCTAAATACTTTAGTTACTATATAATAATTGACGTAATAATTATTTAATAAGGTTTATAAATATACTGTACATTTCAATCGCATAATACTCACATCGAGAGTCCGATAAAAATATGGTTTGTCCAAGCTGTAAGCATATTGAGCTGAAGCAAGACAGTTGATATATTGGCTATATTCCTAATAATATATATATTATCAATTAACGAAATAAATAATAATAAATACAATAAACAGAAACACGAATAACTTACTTGTGGGCATGACCGCAGAGAATTACAAATGAATGCATACACCTCTTGAGTCGTTGGGTAAAATTGAATTTGTTGAGCACAGTTTTGACTGAATTCCAAATTCTAAATTTCAAATATCAATAATATATCGTTTGGAAAATAAATTTTAAAATAAAACTTTTGCGAATATTTAAAAGCTTACAACTTCGTATCCATTTTCAATTACGCACGACCGATAGTGTCTTTGTCCTTCACAACTCAGTGCTAATTAAAATAGAAATTAGAAACGTAAGAAAATATATTTATTTTATATATTTATAAATTTCATCTATATCTAGATGAAATTTATTGGATCAACATTATGAGGATAATTAACGAGTAAAACATGAAAATACCTATAAGCAGTATGTTACTAAAACACTTACCACAAAAACAATCCACGGCTCGTACGAGATATCCAAATGGATCCGCAGGTCTAACAGATGAAACTTGTTGAAACGGTTGAAACAATTGAAAAGATTTAATTGGAGAAAAAACAATAGTAAATATGAATAACATTAGCATAAGCGTCATATTCATTGATGCTTTCATTTCAATTGGTAGATTTATGTTCTTATATATTCAAACCACCTAAAAATATAACAAAAATTTAACCCTGTAAAAATATAATTTAATTAATTATTCGTTTAAAATTATTCGAGTTTGTCTTTATTATATTTTTATGTTAAAAATAATTGAAATATTTAACGTAAATTTTAATACAGTAAATCAAAAATTAGTATTTTTATGGTGAAAAACAAATAAAGACAGAACTTACCTTGTTATAATCTATTAAAATATGCTGGACTTTAGGCTTTATAAAGTTAAGTTCTTATGCGTCGTTAAAGTAAAACTGCTTGAAAATTTATGTTTACGTGTGTTCGAATTCTTTTATGTACTGTTCTGTATAAAATAACCAGCTGCGCCTGTTGTCAACATGCGAAATATGACATGTCAAATTTCGTTAAAAAAAAGTTAATTATGACATTTTCTCATAATTAACTTTTAAAATATAGAGTATTTTAGTTATTTTATATTTTGATAGAAGTTTAAATTCTTATTTAATTAATAACAGCGCGTCCTTTTCTAAATCAACTTTGAAGAGGAATAAAATTTAATCTAAAATTCAACTTTAAATTGGTTCAATCTGTACTTTAATTTAACTTAATTTCTAAGTTAAAAATGATATTAATCATTAATAACAATTGACAGTACTTTGAAGGAAATTCGGGAATGATTTAGACAATTAAACAATTAGTCAATGTATGAATGCTAACCACCATAAAACATACAAATAGGCACTGTCACACATCCAACACAAACAAAACAAAATGACATCCAACAAGAAACACACCCATAGATCATAATACATAATTAGTTATCATGTACTGTAATTTAAATATTATTGAATTTTAAATTTGTTTTTAACTGAGATACCCAGAGGGAAGACAAAAGGATTAAATTGCCAAGGAAGTAGACGCTCTTTCACGATACAGTATTTCGTTTATTTCCTTTACTTCACTATAACAATTTAATATGCTATAGGAACCCAATATGTATTTTTTCAAGTCCTATTACTTCCTGGAAAGCCTTGATTCTTAATACAGTATATTACAGTAAATTATCAGTATACATTATATAGATATTATTATATTGAATTTTAAAATAGTTTTTAAATTTTTTCATAAATTAATAAAATCCAACCTTAAAATTAAACGTTTAAAAACGCTATCAAAGAAATAAAAGCTGCAGTAAGTGTCAAATTGAAAGATACATAAATTATCACGTACAGTACAACACGGTACTTCAACAACAAAGTTTGAAAATTCGGGATGTCCCTCCTACAATTTTTAGGTATTCAATAAAATTTATTCAAACATTTTTAGATAAATGATATGATATTAATCTCCCCACACACACTAATATTCATACATACAGAAAAAGCCACTAATTTTTTTTCATTTCTCGTCGTTTCAAGGTCCCCCGAGTCCAAAAATGTAAAAACCTTATGGGTCATTATTTGACCGATTGCCCATTGTCATGCATAACAACCGTGAAAGTAATATGAAAATGTTGCTGATACATCTGATAAAAAAAAACAATAGCGAGGTTGAGGCAGATACTTTGCAAAAATAGAAAATTTAATTAAAATTAATATTAACGTGTAATACAGTATTTTTAATTGTAATTGTTAATTACTTAATTAATACCCAGCTAGATGACTCTTAACTTCCTCAACAACACTTTATCTCTGTGAGAATTATTTATTAATTGCAACAAACGTTTTAAACCTGTTCCACAGGCCATCTTCAAGTTTTTAAAAATCATAAAATGTTGCTAATTGTTATTTTTCTATAGAACAGTTAAGAACACATTTAAAATACAAAATTCTTTGGAATATTCAGCTATTTGAATCCAAAGAATAAAATTACAGTAATATATACATACCAATTTAAAATAACAAAATAATAAAATAGGTAGAAAAGAAAAAAACTAAAGAAAAAAATTACATTCACAATATCAGTTTTTGATTGTATGGACATTATGCATTATTTTTAAATAAGTTCTTTTCGACCATTTATTTATTCGTAAAATTATTAGATAATTGTTGAATATATTTTTAGCGAAATTATTAACAACACTATCATTTTCTGACGCCATTATTGCCATTATAGCCACGTGCTAACGCTAAGTAATCATAACACAAATGTACATTTAGCACGATAAGCCATCTTTATGTCAATAATAATATAGGACACAAATGTCACAATTGAAGTTAGTACTTTCGTTATTTATCGTGAAAGTAACTCAATACATTGCTTTTGAAATAAAAGAAACTAAATTTATTCTTAAAATGTTTAAAAATAAAAGTACGACAAAACATTTATTCAATTTTCTTAAAATTAAAAGCAATAATGCTTTTATTAATGATTTAATTGCTGTTAATTATAATAAAACTTTATAGAACAAATGAGGTCAGTAAATATTAACATAATTGAAAAGCACATGTTCGGTAAATATGTGTTTACATAAACAATAAACATAATTAACATATAAATGCAAATGCTTACGTAGTCAATAAACAAAATTGACCTAAATGAAAACATGTGGTTTATTCGATTATGGAAACGCGACACGTGGGCGATCTGTCAAGGGGGGAATGCCTCCCAAGAAATCTTTTATGGGAAACTGGCTCCTATTTAGGTATTACGAACGTGACAGAAACCTGGAAAACTGTACATGGCCAGCCCGTTGTCTAGGCGCAAACTACCAGTCAGTGTTTAGTGGTTTTATGCACTGGGCACCCACCGGTGGGATAAACAAAATAGAAATGTCCTCGTAGACAATACATGGATTCAAATATATTTCTGATAATAACTTCAAAGAGTATTGCATTATTGAAGAACATTTTCAAAAATATTGCGATAGGCTTGAAACCATAATTATCGCAGATAGTATATCAATGACATCACCAGAAAATAAATTTGTGAAAAGTAATAAATTTGTCATATGGCTACATTACAGAAGGTTGTTTCAGTCTTATGAGAACTATCTTAATTGAGCGGAGCTCCTCATAAGTCAGAAAGTGTTTTGTCAAATTTGTTTGTTCAGGAGTCACTAAACTTTTTTAACAGCGGGCCAGATAACTGAGAAAATGACCAGCAAGGGCCGCATAATTATTTTGTTTAATACAGTGTATTGAATACACAAAAAATAAAGACAGCCAACATATTTATGTACAAATACACAAACACAATAGCTGCAGCAAGCTCATAATCGCTTTTCTTAGAAACTTCATTGCAGGTACCGATACTTATACAAAAAGCTATCTGATATCCAAAGTTGAAAAAAGTCGCCGAATTTTTTATTTCACTAATTTATCTAAAAATTATATTACTGTGAGATCCAGGGGTTAATTAATTAAATTTAATACGTGGTTAATTAAGAAGTGAAAAAAACCTACTTTTACTCTCCACCTGGCATTTCCGTTGCCCTCTGGTCGGATAGATAAAAGACGATCGAATAACCTTACAAATTCAACAATCTTTGCCTTTGTTGTGCGAAAGTTTTTAAGATAAGTTTCAACACCTAATTGTTGACCTCTAAGAACTTTAAAATCGTTTAAATTACGTGGTAAGAAAAGTCGCAACACCTGACAGAAAGTATCAACAGTCCGGCCGGGGCGTCAAATTCTTACGGCGCTCACCGGCCAAACCGTTGACACGTCTCGAACTTAGGACCACAACAACGTGAGTTACCTGAGTAAAGTCTCATGCTCAGTGAGGATAAAAAGGACACACACTCGAAATTCAGGGCGGATTCGATTAAAAAGCCATAGACACGGCTCGTTCGCCATGCTCCCGACCGAGTTATCTCCATAGAAGTCTCCCTGTCGATATGCCTCGACGAAAGCAGAAAACATCGTCAATCTCTCAGAGGTATTATGATTAGATTGCTGTAAACTTTCTCTCGGTCAATTAGCTGTAAGTACTGTACCTAGATATAAGATATAGTGCATATCTTAAATGTATTTTCCCACGAACCCGATAATTATAGTGGTACATAGATTTAGTAGCTTCAATGCATTCATTACTTTAGTTTATTAAACTTTTGTTATTTGTTAACCCAGTAACCTGTCTTTTCTCAGGGAACGATCACTCTATCGATAGACTTACCGCCCCTCTGTCACGCGAATCCAAGCCATCCAGTGACAATTGAGCAGGTTTAACCGACCCGATGTTGCCATCAGGTAATCAGGGACCAATCCCCTTACCATGTAGCTTCTCACATTACTGTCAGATGCAAAAATTAGATTGGACCAATTTTGGCATTTTTACTTACACTTATTTAAAATTTTTACATAGTAAGTATATCTACAATGTATATTTCCACATAAATAATTATATTTTAGCTCATTTGTGATACCGTGCGGCGGCAGACCGGAAGAACTGGCCTCGAAGGACGGATCCGGCCCACGGGCCGTAGTTTGGTGACCTCTGTGTTTGTTTGATCGAAGTTCAAACAACCACACGACCATTAAACCTCATTTTTGCGAATATGTTTAACTCGACAACGTTGATGTAGTGACGAAGCCGTAATTTGAAATTCCTATATGGGCTGAGATGTTTCAGATCAAAATTCTCCATGTAAAGCGAAGGGCCAATTGCCTGTGTAAGTTTACAACAACTACACAGCAACTGGATTTTTCGCAAATATTTGCGAAAAACTTGGCATAGCCGATGTCGTGACGAATTTAAAACTTTGATATTCGATATATGGGCCGAGATATTCGTGTCCAAATTCTCCGTGTAAAGTCTATGGACCGATGCAGAAGTTTAAATCAACCGCACGACCACTAAACATCAGATTTTGCACATTGTGAAACTGATTCCCATGCAGACATGAAGTGTTTTAATATCAGTACTGGATGAATATAAAGCTTCATCATTCCCATGTAATCAATCCCTCCTTGCCCCCCATTGGCCTAAATGGTTCCCAATTTCCTGTCATTTTGCAACAAAAAAAGTCTTTTCATCCGTTTCGTATTGTGAAGAACATTACAGAACAACGGAAAGAAATTAAGTGTCGGTTTATTATGATATCGTGTAATAATAATTTTATCAAAACTCAATAAAAATAAAAATATATATGAATTTTAATAACGCTCTATAAGACATATTTGTCCAGAATGATAAAGACATCTCTGTTTCAGCATTTAAATTGCTGTGTGCTATTTTGCAATTAATATGCAAAATAGCACACAGTATAGTATAAAATACAGGAGAGTATTAGAGTAGGCCCAAGCGATCAACCACCATTTCTCTCAGAGTAAAAGCGAATAGCTATAAACTTCATATAAACCGCCTCAAAGAAAAAAAAATAAAGAAAAGGAAGAGTAGGCCCACCGCCCACTAGTAGCCGAGTGGTCTTCGTCCCCGCACTTAAATGGACTAGACCCTGAACACTGGGAGTTCGGTCGTGGATTCGCGCCTCGCTCGGATGGGCTGTCAGCATGGAGTTTTCCGGGTTTTCTCCATGTCGATGACGCCTGAATAGGGGCCAGTTTCCCATAAAAGTCCTCCCGGAAGGCATTCTTTTCCCCGCGCGTGTTTAGGCTATTCTATAAGGCCGGCTCTTGGGTCGCATAGCGATCACCCACAAGTCTCTCGGAGTAAAGGCGCATAGCCACTATACTCCATATGAACCGCCATCTATCGACAAAGAGTAGGCCAAGCGGTTCTGTTCACTGAACATTGGGAGTTCGATCGTGCCTTCGCGCCTCGTGGCCATGTGGAGTTTTCCGAGTTTTCTCCACGTCTCTAACGTATGAATAAAGCCCAGTTACTCTTTGAAGACCTCCCGGAAGGCATTACCTCCGCTTCCCGCGTAAGGCAAGGAATAACTTCAGCCGGTTTATCGGATACTAACATCACAGCTGTATCGGAGAAATAAAGCCACACAGGTTGATCCTCCATATGAATCCCGAGAATATAGTAGTAGATTAAGTTTAAATTTTTACAAAATATAGTTCTGGAATATATGATGAATTAAAGGTTTTATCGTAGGAATAGAAAAATTGTTCACAACATTTTTTGACAAATTATATCAATTCTAGTTGAAAATATGAAACAAAAAAGTAATGAGTCTAACGCAAATTGCATCTCATCTAGCCACAAATGTGTCAGAATCCATAGTATACAGAGTTATGAATTTACCAAGCCATCTACAAAATAAGAAAATGAAACAAATTCTGCCCATAAATAACAAAGACAAGCCTTTGGCATGGACTGATAAATGGCAACAAGTTACTAGGAGTGATGAGAAGAAATTCAACAGGGATGGGACAGATAATGGAGAAGCAATTCACAAAATATCAGGGAAAAAGAATTAAGTACTCTCTATATAAAATTAAAATAGGCGTAAAGAAAAAAAAAGTAAAACTAATATGATTAAACAATTCTTATTTTTGCATATTTCTATAAAAAGGACTTATCACACGTGGTACCTTTTTAAATAAAAAATATTTAAAATTTTGTCGATCATATGAATAAATCAGTAATTAAATTCATATTGAAAGATAAAAATAAAGTGGTGCCTTGTACTTCTAACTTAATTCATTTCAGGTCGTTCGAACTCCAAATCGTTCGAAATTCCAGGCAAATTTTTGTTGAATTTAACGATAAAACTCCAAAGCGTTCGAAATACAGTACTAGGTACCACTGTAGATTTTCAAAAAGCAATAAGTCTATCAGTGGCCGAGGGGATAAAACTACTAAACACTGGTCGTGAGTTCTTGCTTCTCAAATGAGAGTTTAGAGTTTACTGGGTTTTCTTCACACTAGTAACACTTAAATAGAGGAGTTTGCCATAGATGACCTCTCCCCTCAACAGATCGCCCACGAGTTGCCCTAAACAAATATCACCGAACCAATCAAAAATAACCTTATCTATACGGCTTTTATCACTATAAATAATAAAAATGATTTAAATAATTTTAAATTTTAAATTCGACAATCTCTCAAACAGTTTTTATAATTATCTTCGTCTGTTCATAATTTTTTAATTAATTAATTCTTTTAAGAACAAATATATTATAATCTTTCTTCAAATAAACTATTCAATGCTATTTTTTCTCACATAAATCTTCGTATAAATTGAATGAATTATATTATTTCTTCAGAAGTTCCAAGTTTTCGCTAGTGGCCAATCGGCAACACCATTGAACACTGCTGGGCCCATAGGTGGCCAAGCGGTTTCGTTCTCTGAACACTGGGAGTTCGGTCTTGGGTTGGCGCCTCGCCAGGACGAGCTGGCCACGTGGAGTTTTCCGTGTGTTTTCCACGTCTGTAACGCCTGAATAGAGGCTAGCTATCCTTAAAAAGAGCTCTCAAAAAGCATCTTCCTAGGCAGAGTGCCCAAGTGTTGCGTTGCCATAACTTAACAAAAAACATTGAACACTCGTTCACATCTGACCAAGTGGATAGCCACGTGGAGTTTGCCGGGTGTTCTTCATATATCGTAAATCTAAATAGGGGCTAATTTTCCATAGAAAGTCTTCCGGGTGGTATCCCTTTGGTAGCTCGTCAATGTGTTGCTTTGCCGTATCCGATAAAACTGAATCATTGAAGAATCATCTGAAAATTATAAAATTATATATTTTATATCGTCCGATTACATCGACGATAACCATGCAATAATGCGATGCAAATTTATTATGTAATTTAGTGATTCTCAAATGGGGTATCTCAAGAAATGGCATTTTAATAATAATAAAAAAACGCATTTATTTAAAGATTTATTTTAAATATTCCTTATATCCATGATTAACTAATAGCGAAGCACTAGAGCAGTGGTGCAACAAACTATGGCTTCGGACCAAATCAGTCCTGTGGCACACTTGAATCTGTTACACGAACATACTTGACACGAAAAGTTTGGTCGATACAGTTGAAAAGTTTGGGTATCGCTGCTCTAGAGTAACACTTATTAATGTACACAACGATTCGTAATTTAAAATATATAGTTTTTCATTTTGTACACGAAACACTCCAGCAAATTTTTTTACATTTTACACCTCGCCGCAAATTAATGAACTACTGAACTAATGAACTATGCTTTCATTTGTATTACAATATGAATCAATTTAAAATAATTAATCAGTGATAAACCAAAATATAGGGTGCATTACTTGGTAAAGTTGCTTAAAGTGACTTTGCTAAACATAATTTACCGATTTTCTCTAAGTTATAGCGCTGATGCAGCGAGATTTGAAAGCATTAATGATAAAATTTAAGATTGCTGCCATGAATTTTGAAATAGGCATGGATTAAGGCGTAGCCTACCGTTTTGGAGATCCAGGATCGAAGCCAAAAGAGTAAATTTCATGAATTTTTATGGGCCCGATACGTCGGGCCCCGTTTCTCACCATTTTGGGTTCGATCCAACCCCACGATGGCACGATTAAAAAAAGGCACTCTTAGTGCCCAAAGGACAGGGATTAAAAAATGAAAAAAATAACAAAAATACAAAGCAAAAAATATTATATACTAAATTTATAACTTTTTATAAATTCATGAAATGTTAACGGTTAAAAATATATCTCATCCATAATGGAACAGCATTTGCAACTAATTATGGAAATGATATAAACGTTCAATATATAAGAATTAAAAGCTGATTTATTATCGTGTATTAAACAATTTTGTAAAAGCTCTAATTGTTTACTTTATCGATTTACACTTGTTCATTATGTAATGTCAATCTTTGAGAAATAAAAGAATACTCTGGTAAAATATATTATATAAAGGAATTAATATGTAAACTAACATTTAATAGCTTTTAAGACTTCATAATTGCAACACAGACATTTGGTAGCTCGAAAGATTTTTTAATAATTTATTATTATCAAAAACGATTGAAACTTTACTAATTATTGAGTTAATAATTAGTAAAGTTTTGGTTTAAAATAACTTAGTAATTTGGGATAAAACTTGA